TAATTTGCATGTCATTTTCTTCTTTTAAAATTATTTAAATATTTTTAATAAATTAATTTTATATATTAATTTATTAATAATATTAGTCTTTTGATTATTAATTTTAATATTTTAATTGTTAAAATATTTTAATTTTTCTCAATTCCCATAAGCATTATAGGAAAAATAATTTTTTTAATTTGCATGTCATTTTCTTCTTTTAAACGTGTGAAACTGATGTATTATTTCCTTTAGCATATAAAAGTAACTAGGAGAAGTTTTATATTAGCAATTAATTAAACATAATAATCTTGCTAAAAAAAGAAGGCTGAAATTATCCTACATTGACTCCGTGTGCGTGAGCTGTAAGGTATATATGGGACTCCAGGCAATTTCAAATTGATCGATTTTGGAATTGTATTGTGTTCCGTCACTATATCCATGTAAGTGTTTCAAAAAAAAAAAAAAAGGCTAAAATGAGAGAAATTTTTTATTAGCGATTATTTAAACATCAAATCATGAAGTTATATATTAGTAATTAGTAAAATTTTTTAATTTATTATTTATTTAGTTTGTTTTTCAATTCCCAATTCCACCTAAACCTCTAATAATTGACTAATTTTTCCAAATTAACTAATTGATTTTCTTAACTTATCATCTTCTAGAAGTAAAAATAATCACACTCTACTCATAACTCACCTCTCGACCTTTCTTATTCTTATTTGCTCTAATACTCTCGAAGGCTCTAACTCTTCAAACTTCAAACTCTTCTCATATTCTTCAACTTTCATAGTCTGTACAGCCTTTGACTTTCAAGTTTCGACTCTACATTTTCTCTTTAGTCTTTAACATTATCTCAGACTTTGATCTTAGTCTTATCAAGTCACTATTACGTCCACTCAGCCCTTTCTTTTTTTCTCCTATGAGTTCGACAAGTGCTCCTATTGTCACTAACTTTTCTTTCTAAAGACTTCAAGATAAGTTGTTTACTTATTTATGTTTTTTAATTTTCTTTCCATTCCAAGTAAAAATTTTACTTGATTTTCTCCTTTGCTTACTTAGATGCATTTAATTGATTATTCTTTGAAAGCAATGACCAAAACAAATATGTTCTAATGGGATTTGTATTTTTTGGTTGTCATGCTACTAGTGTTTTTTCTTTTTTTCTATTGAGATTTATAAGTGTAGTATTCTTGAATTTGATCATCGTTGTTCTTTGAAGAGAAATAAAAAATGTGATTTTAAGGAACTATATACAAATGTGTATATATTAAATTAATGAAAAAAAATTATTTTTATATGTTGAATTTTTTTTTAAATCTTTTGAATAATTTTCTTTAAATGATAATAGGTACAAATTATACAAAAAAACAAATTTAATTGGGTCAACCAACGGATTGATCCGTGACCCGTAATGGATGAGTTAAGATCTGCCTTCATTATCTCATAATCCATTTTAATCTAACTCATTTTAACTTGTTATCCAGTTTGACATGATCCTAACTCAACCCAACCAGTTCCTTTGCTAGGTTTATAAGGAGTAGACTCATGATAGACGCATTCAATATTTTGACAGTAATTACGATTGGTATCATAATGCTGTCATATTACAATTCCTCATCTTTTACTACAAATTGTATCTATTAAAAGAAAAAAAAAGAGGGAGAAGGCTTTATTTACGAGGACAATTACTTCGTCGATGGTTGGTTTTACTTTTCAAATCAATTAGCATTTCGCAACTTGCTCTACGACACTTGTCCAACGATTAAAGCAAAAAAACAAAATGGTTCAGTCACAAGAATTGGTCCATAGGGACAATTACTTTATGGATGCTTGGTTTTACTTTCTAAAATAAACTAGCATTTTTCAACCCATTTGGTAAGACATTTTCCACACCGAACATTTT